AAGGCCAGCGTTAGCTTACCACAAAACCTGGAAACAGGAGGAAACTGCTAGTGTAACTGTTTTTTTTTTTTTTTTTTAAAGTTCAGCTTTCCACCAAAATAAAACTGATCCGTCTTTTGATCCGACGTGGGGTAAGACAACAAGACTGTTCCCTTAAAGCAGTGGTTCCCAACTGGTGGATTGCATTCCAAAAGTGGGTCATGGGTCCATTCTGCACGGACCGCAAGTGACTCAAGAATGTGTTAAGTTTGTAAAAAAAAAAACCACATTTTATTTTTGAAGTACAGTGAATTTCTAGCCCAAACTTTTATTGTGAAGTGCCGTTTCCTGTTGTAGAGTGAGTGAAAACAGACAGCTACTTAACAGAGACCGCAAACTAGCTCGACGACATGGCCAAACGCAAGTATGGCGCTGAACATATTAAACTTTGTGGACCTTGAACTCATGACTAAGGAGAAATCTGGACCCTGTGGCTGGACCAGTTGGGAACCAATGCCTTAAGTTCAACATTTGGGGAAATACACTTATTTGCTCATTTGCTGAGAGCTAGATTAGAAGATCAATGTTACTCAGGCCTGTAGGCGATGATGTCAGCTTAGCTTAGCATGAAGAGCTAGGTTGCTTGATTCCCCGTGTTGTCAGTCTTCATGCTAAGCTGAGCTCATCGCCTGCTGGCTGCAGCTTTACATTTACTGTGTATTCATGAGCGTGGTAACTCTAAGTGTGTTGCCCAAAATCTGTAACTGTTCCTTTAAGCTCACATTGGTTGAGTTGAGGATATTTCATAAGTTATTCCAATTATCTTTGATAATTTGGCCAACAGTGGACACTTGTGTGAAGACAGCCCAGGTCTGTTGTGTAACATTGCTAAGACACTTTTAGTATAAATTTAAATTTGAGGCTTTTTGATGGTTGTCTCCTGGGGTTGCTGATTGATTGAGTGTTTTGATGAACTGTCTGAGGTGGAAGGAAATGAGTGAATTCTGTTTTAGTGTGGATTTTGACTGCACCCTCCTCACATCACAGTGAAACATGAAATCAAACAGTGTTACTCATGACGACGGCTGCTGTTGAGTGAAAACCTTTTATGTTAATATCAAACGGCAACTTTTCAAGTTGAGATTTCAAGGTGTGTGTTTAAAGGGTTTTATGATCCCTTAACTGTGAAGGAACATGGGATCATTCTGTTCAATAAAGAACAATATTATAAAAAACAATCACATGAAACAAAGTCACAAGTTTTTTTCCTGGTACTGACACAGTGTCCAAGACTGACAGATTACTGAAGTGCGTGTTGCACCCCAACACCACCCCCCACCCCCCCCAGTCTGAAAGCCACCTCAGCTAAAGGCAACAGTCAGCTCCATTTAACAGTGTCTCTGTTCGGGTCCCAGAGCCAATTAAAAGGTGTGAGATGCCTCCATCAGTTCAGTTTTCAATGTCGCTGTCAAATCAGTCAGCGGGGAAGACATCAGCCCCCCAAACCACATCCTAAATTAATCGCACTCGGAGATAATCACATAACCGACAATTAACTCCGTTTCCCATTTAATATCCCACCCACCCACCAACCCACAGTACAACGACACACACGCACACACACATATGGCACATCTACACACCAGTCTTATTACACAGACAGACGCTGATCCCCAGCAGGCACGACGCACGCATGAAATATGTGTTAGTTAGAGCTTATCACAAGCTTTGTGAAGTTCATAACAGTGAAGCTTCCACTTCTTCTTTTTTTCCTCCTCTGAGGACGGTGGGGGGATTTTGGGTGATTTATACACAAACACAAACACTTAACACCCAAAGTGACATCATTAATCAAAGATGTGAAAAATACATTTAAAAAAAAAAAAAAGCTGCATAAAGCAGACGAGAGTTTCATTTCAAACACACACACACACACACACACAAAAAAAAAAACCATCCAAAATAATCATTAAGTCTTGTTTTGGTAAATCCTGACATTTAGGTAAAGCACATCATATATTCCTGATATCAATTACAAATGACCTTTATACTTTTGCCTACAAGACGGAAGTGTTTTTGCAAAATATCACATTTCATGTGGAGAATAATGCATGAATTTTTGGAATGAAACCCTTCTAGTTCAGAGAGTCATTTGTCACATCAGACATGCCTCTCTTTGACCCACAAAGCCTCTCCTGCAGACAAAGCAGCTGGCTTCTCATCTCCGAATGTAAAACCCGCTGGAAGGGGGAATCTTGCTTTCAGCCTCAAATTGCACGTTATTATCAAATTGCACCTCCAGAACAGAAATTGCACACATTACTGCAGCCTGTCACGCTTCCCATTACCCTCCGCTGTTCAGCTTATGACAAGCCACTGATTCTGGAACAGCTGCGGCCTCTTGGCACTGTGTGGTTGGCACTGAGGGGGATGTTCCCGCTGATCTGTGATCAGACTGAGCTGTAACGGCACTGAGTGAAAGAAAACAACAAAAGACACTGCTCACATTTACTTTAGCCAAGATCTACACCCCTCTGACATTCCACAAACTTATGTTAAACAGTTTGTATTTAATTCTGCAGTAGAGCACCAATAAGGTCAGATGTCAGAACACATGCTTTTTTAAAGAGGAAGGCAGGAAACCCAGTAAACACTGATTTGGCAATTCGAAGGTTAAAGGTCAAGTGTGTGGGATTTAGGGGAATATATTGACGGAGATGGTGTGTATAATCACCTGAAAATAACAACCATCCTTTGTTCCCTAAAAATTAGCTATTCGTTTCTACATAGGGAGCGGGTACTTGTTCGTGGAATCTGCCATATTGCACCACCATGTTTCTACAGTAGCCCAGAGTGGACAAAACTGAAACTGGCTCTGGATAGGCCACTGTAGTTAGCAGCCCCTGCGCAACAAGCTGAACAGTGTTGGGAAAACTCTGATTTTTAACATAAAACTGCCTTATCTAGGCCCGTAGGCACGTATTTCTATATTTTTTAAAACTGATATTTCCCCCCTACGCTTGAAAAAATAATTCTGTCCACACAGACTTCTTTACAAATTATCTCTGTCCATACTACAACGCAAAAACGACTCCAAACACTTGCTGGCGTTAGCTGTCTTCAGCAGTGTATCTTGACACTAAACAGGCTAACGTTGCCTTTTTCAAAACTGGAGATCTCATTACCGTTTACTCAAAAGTCACGTGTGATGCTCTGGACATGCAAAAGTTTTCCTTCCACTCCTTATCAACAATAATCCCACTCTAGTGTCCCACCATCTGCTCCGACTGATCCTATCCCAAAACTGTTGTTTCTTTAAGGGCTCATACATGCTCAGCATTAGATATGGAGACAGAGACATACGGAGTCTTCTTTCCGTACTCTTTCTTCATTTCGTTCTGAAGGAATTCTCCGTCCACATGTCGGGATGTAACGTCACATGGCTGCACAAACCTCTGCCATCTACAACACTGCCTTTGTTTAAAGGTACAACATTACGACCTCTTCCACTGTCTCCACATTTGCTGTTGTCTGAAACTTTTGACTCTGCCTTCTAGTGCCATCTATTGGCTGTATCTATGGCATCATAAAGGACATATGGAAGTTTGAGGGCAATGATGTTTACAACATTTGAAATGGACGTATCTATTTTCGTACGTAAAGGGAGTATAAATTAAATGCAGATGCTGAGGTGGACCAAATACGAATTAAAATAATGACATAATTGTTTCCTTAATGCTCTGTTTTACATGTCCATACAGATACACACCTAAACTTTGTTTGCGTGTGGACAAGAGGCCAAAATGTGGAAGAAAATATAAATTTTTTACAAATATCTATGTACATGTAGATGGGGCTTTAGTGTTTTTACCAGTTTGCATCACCAGGTCTGTTTGTTTTGGAGAGGAAGAGACCTCTGTCGATAATTCAGGTCCCAGTAAAACCTCCTGAACAATGAACGCTAATCTTGAGTTCACACTTGGCACATGGCTGAAGTTTCAGCTGGCTGCAGTCTACAATCCTCACCACTAGACGCCACTAAATCCTTCACACTGATCCTTTAAAATATATTTTGATTACAAGTGAAAGTAAATTTAGCTGAGTCTATTTGTCCCTCAAAGACAGAAAGAGTCCAAAATTCACTAGAAATTAAATGAAATTAAATCTAAATCTAAACGCATATTGTCACTCCAATTTAAGTAATCATATTTGTTTTTTACTTCTTTTGTGTGTCATATCAATATGTTAAGATTATTAACTTTGGGACCTCCACAAGTTGCTGCATGGAGCTTGTTAATAAGGCGCACTAAAAGGGTAAGCTACAGCTGTTATTTCAGACACCTTCAATCAACATTTTCTGCAGCTCATCTCATTTTCAGGTTGTATCTATAGGCTGTAAACATTAATAAGACTGCTAGAAAAAAAACAACTTCCTTCTCACGTAACAAAAGATAATTACAGATCTTGAATGATTGTTTGAGTTTTAGTTATTTTTACCTTTAATTACTTGAACATGTTAAAAGCTGAACCTAATTAGAATCAAGATAGAATCAAGTTAGATTCAGATCTGATGAACAGATTTAAAAATACAGAGATACAAACTGGTGATGTAAAAATGCAATCAAACCCCTAAACTGCTTTAAACTTAAATTAACCACATGTATTCAGGTTTAAACCCAGATTTTTTTAAATCACCAAATCAGTGTTTACTGGAAAACGTCTGTATGCATTTTTGAATCCAGAGTTGTGTTTTGTCAGGTTAGCTGAGCCTGAAGCAGATTTAGCACCAGTGTGTTGATTGAGCAGTTGATCTGTGTTTGGCTCAGCTGATCCTAAATCAGTGGCTTTCAAATGGGACGCAATAAAAGAGAATTATCTCCAGTGAACACATATCAGCTGACTGGAGTCACTCATGTTGCTCCAGGGAATACTGCACGTTTCAGAAATGAAAAATAAAATATACAAAATCTTAAAAAATAATCCACTGCATGCTAAATTACAGCAGTCAAAGAAAGTGAATGAGAAAAAAACTGTAGAAAAGAATGAAATCTCTTAATAAATAACATTATCAGCTATTCAAACCAAGAGGATGATGATGGGGAGGATTATCTTGGTAGTGGAGCACTGTGGGTGATGTAGTCCAGGTCACATGGCCAGAGCTCGGGCCTTGGCGGCTGCTGCCTGCGCTCTCTGCACGGCTCCCTGGCTGTTCTCCCTCCTCATCAACTGGCTGGTCTCAAACAGACCCTCATGGCTGCCACCGCCGCCACCAGGGCCTCCGTCCGAAAACGTCAGCACTCCTGGACCAGACAGACCCCTTGTGACTTATTTCATCAGAGCACACAGGACATAAGACAAACTCTAAAGGCTGTGTAAGTAACAGCCCTGTGCCAACCCCTTCTCATTCCCAGGTTGTCAAATACTGATGCTTTGTTGCGCCCCTCTGTGTCTGATATCAACACACAGGGCACCATTTAGCGAATCTATGTGACGCACAGCTGAAACACATTGTGGTTCATTTAGGTAACAAAACTACCCAGATAATGATTTGTGGTAAAAAGAACATTTGTTTCGTAACATAAATACGTCACATAAGTCATGTCAGTGTGCGGCAACCATAGGTCAGTTACGTAACATTACTTTAAAACAGCGGTGTCTGTTGGTTACATGTGTGACACCAACTGGATAAGTCTAGTTTTTTTTAAACCCTTCCCCCCACCCTATGCAGACTTTCTTGTTTTGTATGCTGCGTCAGCTGCTCTCAGTGTCAACTATTTTTTATGTAATATTTACTGTACAGACACAAGAGTGCTACTGATCTTATTTGTCTAATACATTTATTTCCCAAAATATTGCACAATTTCCTAGGCTTAGGAAAAGATCATGGTATTGTATTGAAAAAGTCTTTGCTGTCTCGAAGCATAGGCTTTCACACCTGCCCTGTTTGGTTCGGTTCAGTCAAACTCAAGTGTGTTTGCCCCCTCAGTGCGGTTCGTTTGGGCAGGTGTGAACACAGCAATCACACTCAGGTGTGCACCAAAACAACCGTACTGAGGCCTTCTTCAAGAAGTGGTCTCAGTCCGGTTCCAAAGGAACTCTGGTGCGGTTGGTTTGTGGTGAGAACGTGTTCCGACCTGGATCTGAAGCAACTGCAGTCACATGACACATTGTTTGTGTTAAACATGAGCATGTTACAGTCCTGGAGGATTATTAATGTGCACCTCCTCCTGTACTGCCTTAATATGCACATTCAGCACATCCAATGCATCAAAACATTGTTTTCTAGTTGGAGCCGCGCCTCGTTTTCAAACTGTATGGTTTGACTAAAATGAACAATGACAGCAATATAGTCCACGATGAGCAGCGCTAAAATCAACCTGCGTAGTTGTCCCTCCATTGTGACATTAGAAAGTGTCACATTGATCTTGCAAGTGTACTCTTCTTCAACGTTTGCTTTACTTCCTGGATTTTTCACACATGGAAATTCTGACCAATCAAGAGCAGCTTTCTCACACAAGGCATTTGATCTGGTCCTCTTGTAAATGCTGCCGTGAGAACACGAACCAACTCTAGGCAGTTATACAACTTTGTGACAAAATGAGTCCCTGATTCAGACCAAAGCAACACAACTCGAGGTCTGAAAGCAGCCTAAGACATGATACAAAGACTTTTTCCACACTGAACAAAGACCATGATTCTTTCCTTACTTTACACAAGTTCTTTGAGTTACCTTAACATAACTATAAAACTTTATATACTATAAAAGAAAACACATTACATATGTTGACAGTGAACATTCTGCAGATAGATTAAAAAAGTGACCCAGGTGACAGGTCAGGTCAGATTTAGAAACATTCACAACAGTAACACAGAATTGTGCTCATGATTGAAAATATTTTCACAGAATGTTTTGCATCCATCTTCCTCAGTAATGAAAATATAAAGACTAAGTTGTGGCAATCAAGTGTGCAGTAAGATTTTATTAATATATATTTATTTGTGCAGGTTTTGGTTTAATGTATTAACCCTTCTTGATGCTGTAAACACTCACTGCTGTGTGAACTCTCTCCCCATCCTTTGTTAATTCCCTTGTTTGAAAATATATTGTATTATTAACTAAGCTGAGACTCAAACTCAGACTCTCGTTTGTGTTTCATCACCTTAATCTTCTGTCTTCTGTTTGACTCATTGCTTCCTTCATATAATGGTTAAGGGTTAACTGTTGGCTGAACTTTTGTTAATGTTCAACTAAAAACTGCATAAAAAAACATTTAGGAATGGAGCCCTTCCTTTAAAAACAACCACTTGGCCTGGCTCTGATTTCAGGTTGTTAGATCTCAGGAACCCGAAGGAATCTATATGTTCCATCTCTATTTCTACAAGCACAAAAATGAACCAGTTGCCACGGTGACACACATAAAGATGTGTTGATTACCTCCCGAGACTCAGAGCCTAGACGCACACGGGGCGGGGGGGGGGGGCTCCAGTCCAGACAATTAACACGTTTCACTGTTTAATATAATTAAAAAGTATTTAAAACATTTGGAATCAGAACAAAGAGAGTGAGAGATGCTGTAAAGATGTGAGACCGAAAACTCTGTCTCAAAACTCAGATATGAAGTATTCCCTTCATTTGTGAGAAGCAGCAAACTTGAAGCAGTTAAAAGAAGCATAAAACTGAACAAAACATTAAATTAAAGCAAGTTACTAAGTCAAAGGTGCCAAATTACGATACAGAAATAACCCTCAATCTGCATCATCTTTCTGCTACAAGCCTTTTATAACTTAAACATTTTTACTGTACATGATTGGATAATTATCTGCATTACTGCACTCAAAATTGACTATAATATAATGGTGGAAGATCAGCACAGTTGCCAGAAGAAAATGTTGGCACTGTACGTTTCTGCAAACCATGCATACATTACATTTGCATGTTTAATACGCATTATATCCACCTTATTCCTAGCCCCCATGATACCTTGCGTGAAGTATGGGTGCAACTTCTAGTGCTAGCTGTAACTAATTTCCAATGGTAACAGTTTGTTTACAGTTCTCTATTCTTCTTTCCAAGAGCAAGAGGGAACACACCACCTGTTATAGCTCAGACAGGATTATGTGATCATACCTCTGCCATCTCTGACAGTCATCTCAAAGCATTGTTTTCTTTTTTCCATTTCATCCTAGCACGCTAGCAATTAGCTTGCCTTGCTCTGTTAAAGTATTGTTAACTTTAACATGGCCCGAGCTAGCTTAAGGTAAACATCTGCTCCTTCTAAAGATAATTTATGATTTCTGATGATTTATTGAGAGATACTGACACATAATTCAGTATTAACAGTAGCTCCATGTAAAGTGAATAAATGTGATGTTTCCCTGCTAATCCTCCGCTCACCTGCGTTAATGACGCAGTTCTCGTTTTTTTAACCTCTGATTTATTCAAATTGTTCTGAGCGAAACGTGATGCTGAATTTAGCAGCAGACTTCAGTAACTGTAATATAAAGTCATAGTAGTTTTTTTTGTATGATATAAAGGAAGTACGGTAAATCAGTAACACTTTCTCAGCCCTAATGTCTAAATAATTATTTCACGGTATGTTACTGTGTTTATTTTCTAATGTAGGTTGAGAATGAAGTCAGACGGGGAAAGACAGGGACATCATGTACTGACATTGAGTGACAGACCTGTCAGTCCACGTGTCATTCTCTTCTGCAAATTCTGATGAATACTTTTCCTTTATGTCTCGTGAAACTCTTGTGGTTTTATTTCTCATATCAACGGTACCTTTGGCAACAGGAACAATCCCTTTTTGTTCTGGTCACATGTTCAACACACAGTTGCTGAAGACAAAAATTTAGCTTAGACTGGTTGTAAGTCGTTACAGACACAGACAGCGCAACAGGTACCAGAACATTTAGAAAATGCTAAGTTAACATTAGTTAGATATTTGTTAAAAATAAATCAGTGATTGCTAAACTGAAGGCAAATTACTTTCAAGAAGAACCAGCGTTGGCGGTTAACCACCAAGAGTAGCCACTGGGACTCACTGCAGACAGTCTGTGGGACTAACTAGCTTACTGCTACTTCCACTGTTCCCCTCAGGAATAAGGTGGATAAATGTTTCTAAAATGATGTAGTTTTTAAGTTGACTCTGTCATTCACAGGTGGCAGGGAATGTCGATGGCCGAGTAGGGCTGCAAGATTATAACCCCAAAAGGCAGTCTCGATTATTTCTATCAGTATTTCGATCCCAATTATTCATTGTTTTAAGGGATAAAATATTTTTATTACACTTTCACATTTACATTAACAGAGCACTGCTTTTACTTCCATGTTGTTGTGCTACATTCCTGTTAATGTCACCACTAATCTTTGCATCAAAACAGGACTTAAAATAGCGTTCTTCTTCTTTACCTAAATTCCAGGCATCTCCTACAGATACACCGCTGTATTTTTTATTTATTTGATTATTGTTTCTTACAGCAGTCACGGTGATGCCCTGCAGCGTTGCAGCATTCAGAGGTGAAGTTAGTGACGTTATTCTTCTCAGCCTTTATGAATTTTTTTGGTGGTTTAAAAGTTGGTTGTATTGCTTTGCGGTTCAGACACAAGTCTCATGCACTCTTTGCAGATAATTTGTTCTCTTCAAAATCCGAAATACTTCCAAACAACAGATGAGGATGGTTGATAATAGCTGGTTTTCAGTTTGCTTGTCTGCAGTCACAGCGATCAGGAAAGTTCTTCACAGGCTGCAGCTGCAGGGTGTGTGCGTGACAGCGTGGCAGCTTTTTTTAACAGGCTGCTGTTAGGTTAAGAAGTGCTTCAGAGTTTTCTATGAGCACAGCACGCATTTATGCAGTAAATTATGCTCATTTAAATGAGGGGAGCCAAAATCATGATTGTGATTAATATTTGATTAATTGAGTCCCAACACCTAGTTGAGACACCTGCCAAGTTGCAGACCACTGCAGAAAACTGTTGGAAACCAAACGTGTTCTTTTTTCCAGCAGGGATTTGGCCCCCCAAGCCAAAACACGATCATTTCCTAACCGTAACCAAGTGTTTGTTTTGCCTAAACATAACCACATAGCATCAAATTCTACTTTAAGTACCAAAAGTAAAAGAGCTCATGATGCTGAAGGGCCCATTCATGTACTTTAATTAAAATAAGCCCCACCTTTACCAGCTGAAACATCACGTAATATGCTGCTGGGTATCTTGTGAATTTCCCTGAGGATCAATAAAGTTTTATCTTGATCCATAATAACACATCATAATTTCATGATTATATTGTATTAATAATCCTACTCTCTAAAGTAACCTAATATGGTCAGATGGATGGTCAGTGGAGTAAAAAGTACAATATTTGCCTCTGAAATGTGAAGTAGACATAGTGACAGAAAAAGGAAATGCTCAAGTAAAGTACAAGTGCCTCAAAATTAGGTAGAAGACAAGGTTATGTTCCAACACAGCTATTAAAACAGTGCAGAGTATCTTTAAAATGACTCCTCTGAGAAGACTGAGTTGAGTAGTGAAGTCTTACCGTAGCCGTCCACACATCCACTTTTAAACTCGCCCTCGAATCTCATCCCATCGAAGCGAGTAAACACGCCGGCGCCTTGAAATTTGCCCTGCACAAATTCACCTTCATATCTAAAAAACATTCACATAATAACACATTTATACAAGGAACAAAAATCTTAAATTCCTAGGATTGCTACAATAGAGCATGCTTACAGTTATTTTCAGAAATTTAAGAATGAAAGTGAAGAGCTGAGAGGAGGACGAGGAGTGACATTTTTCAAAAGCAAGAGGAATGCTTTTACATTGACATTAATAATCGAGGTTTGACAGCTTCACTGTAGCAATATTGGCCTTGAATGTTTGGAATTTGAGGTATGACATTGGAAGATGGCAAAAACTATTTGTGACTGTTTAAAGTGCACCGAGGTTTCAAAGCTTTCCTCAAATCATTAAAACTCGGAACAGCAGCAGAGAGATGGGAAACAAAACTCAGTTTACAGGAAATCTAAAACAGATTTCTTGTTTGTTTTTTGTTTGTTTGTTTGTTCTTTTAGTTTCTTACAGTGCATCATCGGAACCACGTGCCTAAAAGTTTAGAAACTGTAAATTGTAGTTGAGAGAAACTGCAGAGCATGAGCAAAGGGAGGTGGATGTGAAATTAAAGTGCAACTAACTCAAGATACAATACAGTGATAACAACATCACAACACAGGCAATAATGTATGTGATGCAGCACAACATCGTGCATGTTTGTGACATAACAATATTCTCCTGCTAACTGACAGAAGAAATGTTGGCATTGTTGTTTCTGCAAACCATGTTACATCTGTACATTATTATGTAGTACAGAATTCTTCAACGTTTGAGGAGAAGAGATGCAGCAGGGAGCCCCTTCTACATATGCTTTACAAAAGTGAATTGCACGTAAGATAATTCTCAGAAAATTTTCAGATCTTCTTTTGTTTGTAATTGCCTTTAGCTGCTAAGTCAGCAGCAGTTGTAGCATGGCTAGGTGCTTTAGCTTCCTTTTCGACAGAGGTTTCTGACAATGTGTCGGAGTCTCTTGCTCGAAAACGTTACAAAGCGATTCATTGTGGCTCACAAGAATGTCCGAACACTTGGAATAACAACACAGCTTAGTTTCCGATTTGTTTCAATAGTATGTAAATGATATCTAACTACTTTGATTTAGAGCTAGCTAGCTAACACAAATTTATGGGGATTTATTGGTAAACTTAATGTTGTGACCCAGGATGTAGCAGATATGTTTTAGGGCTGCTGGATTAATTGAATTTTAATCTAGATTACGTTTTGGACTTTCAATGATTATGAAAACAATATAATCGACATAAAACTATTATGCGCTTCTTGTCAGTTTACTCTCGTTGTCTTGTGTTGCAAATCAATTGCACCCGGAAGCAGCGCATGCGCAATACCTCCCCCTCCCCTCCCCTCCTCTCCTCTTTTCACTCCACAAGCCAGTCATGTACAGTACAGGCCAAAAGTTTGGACACACCTTCTCATTCAATGCGTTTTCGTTATTTTCATGACTATTTACATTGTAGATTCTCACTGAAGGCATCAAAACTATGAATGAACACATGTGGAGTTATGTACTTAACAAAAAAAGCTGAAATAACTGAAAACATGTTTTATATTCTAGTTTCTTCAAAATAGCCACCCTTTGCTCTGATTACTGCTTTGCACACTCTTGGCATTCTCTCCATGAGCTTCAAGAGGTAGTCACCTGAAATGGTTTTCCAACAGTCTTGAAGGAGTTCCCAGAGGTGTTTAGCACTTGTTGGCCCCTTTGCCTTCACTCTGCGGTCCAGCTCACCCCAAACCATCTTGATTGGGTTCAGGTCCGGTGACTGTGGAGGCCAGGTCATCTGCCGCAGCACTCCATCACTCTCCTTCTTGGTCAAATAGCCCTTACACAGCCTGGAGGTGTGTTTGGGGTCATTGTCCTGTTGAAAAATAAATGATGGTCCAACTAAACGCAAACCGGATGGGATGGCATGTCGCTGCAGGATGCTGTGGTAGCCATGCTGGTTCAGTGTGCCTTCAATTTTGAATAAATCCCCAACAGTGTCACCAGCAAAACACCCCCACATCATCACACCTCCTCCTCCATGCTTCACAGTGGGAACCAGGCATGTGGAATCCATCCGTTCACCTTTTCTGCGTCTCACAAAGACACGGCGGTTGGAACCAAAGATCTCAAATTTGGACTCATCAGACCAAAGCACAGATTTCCACTGGTCTAATGTCCATTCCTTGTGTTTCTTGGCCCAAACAAATCTCTTCTGCTTGTTGCCTCTCCTTAGCAGTGGTTTCCTAGCAGCTATTTGACCATGAAGGCCTGATTGGCGCAGTCTCCTCTTAACAGTTGTTCTAGAGATGGGTCTGCTACTAGAACTCTGTGTGGCATTCATCTGGTCTCTGATCTGAGCTGCTGTTAACTTGCCATTTCTGAGGCTGGTGACTCGGATGAACTTATCCTCAGAAGCAGAGGTGACTCTTGGTCTTCCTTTCCTGGGTCGGTCCTCATGTGTGCCAGTTTCGTTGTAGCGCTTGATGGTTTTTGCGACTCCACTTGGGGACACATTTAAAGTTTTTGCAATTTTCCGGACTGACTGACCTTCATTTCTTAAAGTAATGATGGCCAATCGTTTTTCTTTAGTTAGCTGATTGGTTCTTGCCATAATATGAATTTTAACAGTTGTCCAATAGGGCTGTCGGCTGTGTATTAACCTGACTTCTGCACAACACAACTGATGGTCCCAACCCCATTGATAAAGCAAGAAATTCCACTAATTAACCCTGATAAGGCACACCTGTGAAGTGGAAACCATTTCAGGTGACTACCTCTTGAAGCTCATGGAGAGAATGCCAAGAGTGTGCAAAGCAGTAATCAGAGCAAAGGGTGGCTATTTTGAAGAAACTAGAATATAAAACATGTTTTCAGTTATTTCATCTTTTTTTGTTAAGTACATAACTCCACATGTGTTCATTCATAGTTTTGATGCCTTCAGTGAGAATCTACAATGTAAATAGTCATGAAAATAAAGAAAACGCATTGAATGAGAAGGTGTGTCCAAACTTTTGGCCTGTACTGTAGGTGAACTACGAGTAATGCTAGGGGCAGATGATCACGGAAGATTTCAAAAACAGCGTGCGGAAAATGGCAGCGGGAGAGTGAGAGAGGCTGTTCTGTGTGTGTGTGTGTGTGTGTGTGTGTGTGTGTGTGTGTGTGTTACATGATGGCATGTCAATTCTGTCTCTACATGCGCGTTTAAAATTCTCCTTTGCTCTCTGTAGCGCGCATCGGGGCCGCATAATCGTTTGCATAGTCGTGTTTTAAATTTTGACCAAAATAATCGTGATTATTATTTTTTCCATAATCGAGCAGCCCTACTATGTTTCAACAACTCTGATTAAAATGGTTAGATTTAGGCACAAAATCCACTTGTTATAGTTAGGAAAAGATCATGTTTGGGCTTGAAAAACACGATTTTGGTGGCACAGCTTGGTGAAAAAGAACCGCTTTTTGCAGCTCTATGCCCGGTGGAAAAACAGCAACGGGTCGGTAAAAAACACCCATGTTAGATGGCTAAAAATTGGCTGCAAACACAGGTATGACTCGCTAAAAACCAACTGGTTTGTTGTACGTAAGTCTCAAACAGTGGTCTGCTGTCACGCCATCCACCGTCCCCTCCACCTCCCGATGACAAAAGCCCTTTTTATACAGACAAGGCGCTGTAGAGCCACTACAAAGTCCATTCTTCACACTGCCTTTGCATTTTTACACAATTTTACAAAATGACGGTGGCATCAATCCATTCCAGTGTCTGATGTTAGACAGCATCCAGGCATCACAGAAGCAGCTTTCAAGAATGCGGCGGCAGGTTGCGTCTGAGGTTGCTACACAACCGTAACAAGCACCATTCCATAGCCTATTTAAATGATATCTGAGGTGCAGAGCTGATCTTCTTCCAGGTGGTGTTTGTGTGTAGGCCTATTGTCCGTGGGACTGATGTAAAGCTCTGGCAGCCCTGCACTAAAACGATCAACTTCTTCTCTATATTTACCACAGACTGATATTTACAGATGAGGGGAAAGATTTATCTCAGGGCACAGCCATTGAGGCCTGAAAATTAGGCTCTTGGGAACCTGTGCGTGCCGCTATGGCATCACTCTGACGTTTGAGTGCACCTGCCACACGTCTACATTAAACAATGAATTTGAGGGCTCAAAAAACTGTACAAGCCCTAGCACGTTGTCAGAACATCACACCCTTGCCGCCCATGATCCCGTCTTGCTTGCTGTCCTGTTTAACAGACACCATTTTGGCGCTGTTACTACCTCTCTTTCCAGCTCAGAGGTGAGACAACTCTGTGCCTCCATTCCACAACTGTAAATTTTATACTAAACAGTGAGGTGTGAAATTCTTGCCTTGAATACACACTGCCTTTTCAAAAGGAGCTAAAGTCAACTCGTGTTCTGTGCCACTTTAGAAATGTTGATATGATACATATAAAATGTAAAAAATGTAAAGTATCTGTGGTTTGCAAAAATGTACAGAGCCAACATTTTCTAGGCTGACAAAAAGAGCGTTCAGTTTCACAGTTTAACAGACACCTGAGGAAGAACTGTGAGAAATCTGCCTTTTCTAAATACACACAGCAGGAATACAAGATTCTATTACTTCAATGTCAAACAGCCTCAACGTGACAAAAGTGTGAATTGCCAGAGAGCAGTGAAACAGTTCAAACATCAGCAGGATGTTTCTGCTTCATAATATTAATTACTTGATTCAATAGGTTTGGGTAAGGCACAGCAAAACCACCACCTGCTTCTGACCTCTTTTCCCCAGATATAAAGGAATTTTGATTTAGTGCCCAAAACACCAACAGTTCAACAAGAGAGTCTCTCCTTTCTCAAATGAGTCTTAACCCGAATCCATTGTCACTGCTGTCCTCTTTCAGAGCCCTCTTTCAAGTCTAAGGACAGTAACCTATTTGATATTCAAGGGACAGGTTTTCTGCTGAATATTCATTTAACACCTTTTTTTTTAAAAAAAAACATGTTTTAGTGTTTCCAAAGCCCTGGAAGAATTTTTCCCACATAATAACACAACAGATGGCCCTGAACAGGCTACACTGAAATGTCCTCAGCTGCACAGCGCACCTCTGCTAAACAAAGAATGAAAAACTCTAAAGTAACAGAACCTGAATTGGGGGAGGAATGTGTTCTGTATCTGTTGGGGTCACGGAGCCACATCCTTTAATGACTTGTTTTTTTTTCATAATTAAATGAAGAAAAGTAGCAGATGTTTCAGTCTGCTCTGGAATGATCCACAGCCAATAATACAGCAAGCGAGAACTACTTCAAAAATACATTCAGAATGTTCAGGGGATTAAAGCTTTCAAACAATTCAGAAGTTAGAGATGCTTTCTTGAGATACACACTGTGGGATCAAGGGTCAAAGATGGTGGTGAGTTTCTTTCCCTCGCCATCTCTGTCTTAATACTTGTAACTTTTCTGGAGCTGTTGAAGGTGCAGTGTGTAGGATTTAGGGGGATAAATTGGCAGAAATGGAATATAATATGTATAATCACAAGAATTGTTGTGTTTTCATGATGATGAGTGAGCTCATTATATCTATATAGGGAGCCAGTTCTCGTCCAAGGTGACCAGGGCAGACAAACCAAACACTGGCTCTGGAGAGAACCACATTTTTATGTTTTCATGTCAGCCCCTGTTCACAGCCCCTCTGTGATGAGCAGTGTTGGAAAACACTATTTTTTTAAATCATGAAAATGTTTTATTCAGTGTTTTTTTTTTCTCCAGATTTAAATCACTGGGTCCGTTTGTTTTGGCGATGAGACCTCTGCAGACAGTTCATTAATTCATTCATTACTAGTCCATACCCACTGATAGCTTTGTCACCTTCTACCTATGCCAGTCCTCAATACCTATGTGCAGTTTCACATAGATTGACCACGTCAGTGAGTAGAAAAATGTGGGACAGACAAAATGACTGACTGACAGAATGACACACTGACAGTTTCCGTGATTATGTACAGCATACCATACCATGACTTAGTCATACCAAACATTAGAAAACAACACCAACATTGGTCCACAGGGGGAGCCACAGCGATCGGTCGCATTTTAGCCATTTTGAAGCATTTTTCTGTTGTTATAGCGCCACCCAGTTGCCAATTAGAGTTAAATTTCTCCAGTCACCTTGAGGCGTCCTGTTCTACATATCTACCAAGTTTAGTAAAAATCCATATGGCGGTTAGGCCTAGATAAGAAATGAGCTCTCTAGCGCCCCCATTTTGTTTGATGGGGTCAATAATGGAGGGGTCCCCTCAGATTATGTGTGGTCATATGCCTACAAAGTTGCGTGGTGATGGGTGAAACCCTTGAGATGTTATACACCTTTATGTGATGAGCCACGCCCTCCGCAATATTCATTGCCTTATAGAAGCTCAGTTTTAGTAAGTTTTCCAACTTTTGCCAAGAGGGAACTTTAGATATTGGTCCCTAGATTATGTTCACCCAGTTTCATGCAGATTGCTCAAACTTCCTAGGAAGAGATCCATTTGAAGTGTTTTTCAAAAAATTCAAAATGGTGAAAAATCTATATAAGCGGAAGTTATGTGTTCTTGAGGCAAATGTGTTCCTCATGAGGAGAGGCATCTCTGTGCAAAGTTTCATGTCTCTACGACATACGGGCCATGAGATATGCCCATTCAAAGATTCAATTTCAATCAGTTGCTATAGCGCCCCCCTTTGGCCAATTGATGTAATATTACTTCATTCACATCCTCCCATGACCCTCTACCACTGTGCCAAATTTCACATGGATTGACCAAGTCAGTGAGGAGAAAAATGTGGAACAGACACACACAGACAGAGTTTTCGTCATGATATAGTAAGATAACAATTGTAACTGCTTATCCTGTTAGGGGTCGCAAGGGTAAAAACCCCGTAAAAACCTCCTGAATGTCTGGGGCCAGTTGCACAAAGCACCTAAAGTTTGCTCCTTAATTATGACACTTAAGGCTTACATGAAATACTTCGCCAATAACTGAATGGAAAGATCCCGTTGCATAAAACCGCACAGCAATTATTAAATGTAAAGGGGCTGGAAGAGCACAGTTTTAGAAAGTTCAGTGACCCAACTCCTGATGGTCACAATAATAAATTGACTTATGGTAAAATTTAAAGTGCAAAATCATTTGATGTCATTAAGCGTGTCCATCGGGTTCTCCCGGTCGCAAAACACTCTTCTCTGGATGCCCTAATTTTTCTCATTTATCTTGATAAACTCAACCATGTTGTGGTTAAGATGGAGTCAGAGGTACTTAATGTTTTCGTCCTTACTTTGGTTACTGAGGTTCTTTGTTTTCTTTTAAAGCAGAGGAGGTATACTGTAACAAAAGCTCAAGTTCTCTGATCATTTAAAACTTGATTTGATTCTAAAGGTCAAAGGTCAGGTTAGCAGGAAGCGAATTACAGACCTGGAGCCGTCGGGGAAGACCAGCACCCCGCAGCCATTGAAGAGGCCGTTCTCAAACTGTCCGGTGTAGCACGTCCCATCACTGAAGGTCAGCTGACCCAGGCCATGACGCAGACCTGCAGCGGCAAAACACACATCTGACTTAGGTTCTTGAAGTCAGCTTCCTCTGCTTGGATTTAAACTCCATCTGTGTGATATGGAAACCCCATGGGACTCGTAAAATCTTCTTAACAGTGCCAGAGAGATAAAAAGCAAAAAGAAACACAAACTTGTTGAGAAGCAGTTTGAAATTCCAAAACAAAAACAACGGGCAAAAAAATTAAACAGGAGCTGCTGATGACGATTTGAATTGAAATAATGTCAGAAAGAAATACAAAAATAAAGAGTGAGCGGTTGTCTTTTGTGAGAACACTGTCATTAGACTTAAGGTAAATGTTTTGTTTTGACATTGTAAAGTAAATTTGTCACATTAAGAGCAAATATTTTAAATCACAGAGAAATACAGAACTATTATGTTTAACTGAGAATGTTTGTAAACCACAAAGTATGCAAAAAACATCCACCTGAATTCAAATGACTGCAAATGTAGCAATACTACAGAGTATGGCTTTATATTTGTGCACATGGGAGACAATTTACACTAGATTCATGTTTTCTTGGTTTCATTAATATGGTTATCTGTCCCTTACCTTAAATCAAGTTTTCTTGTTTACATGTTTTTATTTATTCTTAAAGCCACAGTGTGTAGGAATTTCTCCCATCTAACGCTGAAATCATATATTGCATTCAAACAGATAGCGCACTCTAGCGCCTCACTGTTTCAAACACGTATTGCAACAACGGTAGCCAGTGTGTACCAAACACCTATGATAACATTGATGAAACCATGTAATCCGATACTTCATGGAGTATTCATTCAGGCTCCTACACAGACACACGCGACACGAGTACACAAACCCCCTCCTCACCATACATGACTTCAACTGGACTACAACGAACTACAACAGGTCGCGCGCCAGTGACATCATAGGTGATAGAAACATGGGATTTTGACTGGCGGCAGAGCTCATCAAACACAAAGTGTAAATAAAAAACAAATCGGTTGAGTCTTTCCCCTTCGGATGAAATGGCCAGTCAGGCTACATGCTACGGAGAGAGTTTAAGAGGTCCTGATCGCCTTCGGTACGACGAGAAAGTGAAAATGATAGGAGGTGTGTGCAGCTGCCAGCCTCTGTGTGGACGAAAGACCCTGTCGATTTAATCATTCAGTTCATGTCCTGTTGATTCATTACTTAACATTCATTAGAATTAACTTCTTGGCTTTGAACATCTCATGTTATTGTTGAGATCAACTGACTTTAGCTAGCTAGCTAACGTTAGTCAACTAACCTGTGATGAAGTGCCTACCACAGACGTAATGTTAGGTGTAGTGATCCCACAGCTTTCCATCTTTACCCTGCCGTTTGATGGCTGTGAGCCACATATTTCTTCTTTCCCCATTCTTCACTCTATACAGGAACAAAGATCACAATTGTTTTTTTTTTTTTTTATTGTTTGCTGTGCAGGGAACAACGCAGCAACTTTTCGGCATTGTGACTAGCGTCTCTCCCGGGTTGAGTTGAAAACTTTCACCCAAAAGGGGGCGTGGACGTTGTTACGGCAGTGAGCGACGTTGCGTTGAATTCATCTATGCTGGCTGTGTTTAAAACGTAGGACTGTTGGGGCGGGTGTAAATCGAAACAAACCAATCACGTCTTATCTTTTGACAACTGACAAGTGGCTCAAACTCACACACCCCATCCCTCTCCTCGCATCACTGTGCTGCTGACAGCGGAGCTGGTCTGTGATTGCATTAGCCTGGCCTGCCTGTTGGGAAAAAAATGACAGGCAGGCCCATCACAGCGTCCCTTTTTAAAACCTTTCTCCTTCAGCAGCTCTCTCCACCTGGGAAAGGCTACCCCGATGTTGACCCTCGTTTTTTTAATTCGCCTGTCACGTTGCCTTTTTGATTCCCTTTTGCGCTTTCTTGTTGACTAGGATTCCATCTCTGTCCATCTGATGCTGCATATGCATGATCCTGCATTATGCTCAAAGAGTGCGACTTTGTTATGCTGAAGTAGTGCCGGGGTAGTAGCGAAGCACCTCTTGCTCCTCTCCTTCAGCTTCTCAGTCACGCAGTGCTGGCCTGGCTCTCAACGAAAATGCCGAAGGCGGTGCTGTATGTCCCTTGCTGGCGGATGTATTTTCAAGATGGCGGAACGTTATGGAACCCCCCAAACGACTTACCCGCACAATGTACAAACAAATCCGAAATTCTCCTTTTACGAGAATAAGTCAGATTATTGTTGGAGGTAATGATACACCAATGATTTTTGCCAATAAACAACTGAAAACACTACACAATGTCCCTTTAACATCATTTCCACTAAGGTTCATAACTCAACTCTCATAATAAAGTTTACGATTTAACTATAAAATATCCTGCAAAATAATAACCTTTTGTGGGATTCTTGACAAAAATGCAACTGTGATTATACTTAAAAAGGAATATTGGTCAATATAATGTTAGTCAGTCTATCACTAACATGCGTTCCGCCAGTTTTAGTTTTCATATTAGTTTATATTAGTTTTTTATACTATTGTAGTTTTTGTGCTTTTTCATTTTATGTGTTTATGTATGGTTATTAATTAGCAACACAACATTAAGCTCAATGACCATATTTTACCCATGTGTGTTGAAGGTAGTGTGTTGAAACTTCCAGAAGAAGGTTAAGCACTTATCAAGTAAAAATAACTGAACAGAAACATGAACTCTGATAATAAATGAGTCTATCTGGCCTTCTAAGATCCTCCAGTTTGTTCACGAATGGATGATATTTGAAAATATGTCTCCTTATTACAGACATCGCTTTAGACCAAGTCTCTCAAGGATACATGATAAATTAGAAAATTAAATATACTGCTCTCTGTATAACAAGGACTTCTGTGGTCCACAGCAGGGGCGTCGTTTCAGCAAAAGCTAAGGTATAACAATATGACATGCTGTTACAGAGCTACTGATGATGGAGTTTCAAAAATATGAACTTATATAAAACTTCACTTTGGTCTTGGACCTGTCAGAAGTACATACTATGCTATTGAAAACTGTTTCAAAGGACATGAAGCTGTTTCTCACATTTATAATACCTCATGTCTGCATGTAATGCACGACTTGGTGAGAGCAGTGAAAACATCGGACCTATTTCGGCGCATTTCAGCACCACGAACAGCGAGCGGACGTTTAATTATCATTAGTCATGTGTTTAACTTCACAGAAGTGTGTCTCCACAGACCGAAAATACAAGCTTAACATGCCGACATGAAGAAAAACCCCCACATACAATCAGACAGGCTTCAAGACATCATTTAGACAGGCTGTCTACAGCAGCAGAGCAAAATGCTTTTACAACACACAAATAACTCACATAACTCATAACTCACGGAGGAGCGAAGTGGCGAACAATTTGATTCAATAACACTCGTATTCACTAACACTCGTATTCACTGATGAGCATATTATTGACCTATTTAAGTGCAATACAATGAAAACAACCAGCCAGTGTGCCTCGGACTATCTAACATATCACATCTGATCACTTGCAACAAATATGAAGGACACTCAAAAGTAAGATGACTACAGAACCTCTCTCTTTTTTTTTTCCTCCTGATTCCAAGGTATGGCAGCTGCCATACCTCGCCATACCTAAATGATGCTTATGGTCCACAGACATTTTTGTGTCCTGCACTTGGACCAGGACAGACAATAAACTGGAAACCAAAACAATCTTGTGAGAGGTCACAGTCCATCAATATTTCCAAAGCACTCTTGCTTCTATCCTTGAACACATGACAATTGTTGAGGTTAATGCCTCATACTAACATCATACCATCAACTATGTTCAGAGCTCCTAAGTGCGGCGATTTTTGGAGACTGTGCTACCAGTACCAGCGTGACTACATGTCTGACTTTATGCCCAATAAACAGCCCTGCTCCCAGGCCGTCCATCCCAGGAGCCGACTGCAACACGCCGGCCAGATTATGAAGGTCACTGCGTGTTACCCCTGAGCTTCACTGAGCTTGTCTATTAGTTCCAGGAGGCATCACTTGGTTTCATCTTTGTTGGCTGAATTTTGTATAAAGTCTTAAGTTATTTACATACAACATATCATCCAACAAAAGTAGTTCTCGTGACAGGCCCAGATGGAGCATGGCGTGATATCTCTCCTGAATAACAAGTTCCGATACATTTGTGCTGTGAAGCATGTGATTTTTTTTGCAGTGGGAGGCTAAGAGGAGGTTAAACCGGAAAACTTATTGGCTTGTTTGACAGGTTTCTCAGCCTATCACAGACAGTTGTGGCTGTTAATGCTGGTTCGGCCCCTCCCTGTTGTACAAACTTCCTCCCTTGAGACAAATGAAAGTACACCCAAACAACAGGCTTCAAAAAGTCCCTTTGGAAATATGTGGGTGATATCACAGATGCTACGTCCGTGTTTTTCTACAGCTTGTGATGCACTTGGTTAGTGTGAAGATAAACATCAAGTAAGGTTCAGGCAAACTGGAGGTTTCATCTCAGCATGAATACCACATTAAAGATTTGCAGATCCCTACTGGAGGATGTGTGGCATTGTTCTTGGGAATGCAGGAAAAAAACATGTTAGAAGGCAGGTGCATTATGATTATTATTCTCAAAATTTTGAGCTAGCACTTCACAAGATTTATAATTGGTGCTAAGAGAAAAAAGGTGAGCTGCTCTTTTTCATTTTTTGCCTCTTTAATATGTTCCCACCGAGGTGAGAACTAATTTTCCTCCTCTAATTCTACAACTTATTTCCAGGACCAAGAGGGAAGGCATACGGAGGAGACAGGGAGGGAAAGAAGTGAGCATTTCTCCTTGCCAATGTCTATTAGCAGGCCCAGCGGGATTTAGGAGAATAACTGGATGTGAGGCACAGTTGGACGCAGGCTGAGGAGGTCCTGGGTTCCTCGTAGCAGCTGTAAGCGAGGAATAGGATTTACTGTGAGCTTGCCAAGTGGCATGAAACTGGTGGAGAGGAGAGACGAGAAGAAGATCTG